TTATTATGTTATTTGTATTATTTGCAGTTGATTTATTATATTAAACATATTTTATACTTGACTCATTTCTTTATTAAAACACTTTACAAATATTGTACAAATTAACTTGTTTATTGCCATAACCAGAGAGAATATATGTGGTATACAACAAGTTAGATATTGATTAAAGCTTCCGTGTCTCAACAGATTATATTATAACAAGTTTGAAATAATAAATATTAATGATAATATTCAATTGCTTGGTGCCCAAAACACATATTTTTTTGTTTTCGACCTATGGAACTATAATATTTTGGAATATGATTGATGACTATAAATTAAATAGTTATCATAAAATATTTTACTAATAAAAAATATTTTATTAATTTATTGACACAATACAGTGTGTTTAATAGTACTTCAACATACAGACCATAATATAAAGTGCGAACCTCATACATTTTAAATCCAACCTTTGGGAAAGGTTCGCCTGGTCCCGGTCCTTTTTCACACAATAAAAGGACTTTAATTAAGGTACTTATAAAGGTAACTTTTGCTCAATGCATGTCCACAACCATGACGTTTTAAGCCGTAAAACTTCCTTTACCTTGGTAGTTATTATTTGTTCTTAATTCGTTCATATAAAATTCAGGTGATGTGATGTCGTTTTATAAATTTCGGATTAATCTATATACTAATATTACTAGAGATAGACTGTAAGGAGTCATCTGTGTCTCACTTATTTTAAGCTATTTTTCGAATGTAGGGTGTTATTATACAGTGGAGTTAGATAAGAGAGTCGAAATCTTAGTCCTCAGGAATAGCAAGGCAAGCTAACATGATGATAACATGATAACGTGATGTCCTTAGTGCTGTTCATCTAGATAGGCGACGGTTATCACTTAGCATCAGGGGGACCATCACCTTGTTTGCCATTTTACATTAAAAAATATAAATATTGTATATACCTTATGGCAGTCAGTTTGTCATAATTGAACTACTATAGAAAAATGAAATATCGGTGATATAATTTCATTAATCTTAGTTGGAGAAATAATTTATTAACTGTTTACTATAATTTTGAGTTTATTTGCTAATAGTAATCTTACATATAATAAAATCGTAGAATCAAATCGATTATTTCATAGTGACGGCCCAAAAACATGTTTATATATGTTAATACATAAAAAAATACGGAATATATTGTTATGGGTTAAAGAAAGGTAGAATAACAATTAATTTTGTAAAAATTGACATCTATTTTTATTATTCCAAATTTATTAATTATTGATTGACAATATATTATATGCTTTCTTTATTATTTTCGTTTGATCACAATAAATACAAATACAAATGTACACGAAGTCGCAGGCACCACTAATAAAATTGATGACCATTAACCACTTTTCCTCTTCAATAACAAAACTCATAATAGCAACTTTAATGAAAAAAAAAATAGAAGATGACCGTCCCATAAATCTACGTAATACCGAAAGATAATTCAACTTTGAATCCGATCCAACAAGAACCAACCCTTGTTTTCGTTCGTCAACTGGTTTTAACTTAAGTTGACACTGACACGCTGATTTATATCTCTAAAAAGACAGTGGCCATATTCTTTGTGCCAATTTTATACGTATAGTGAGAATCGAGTGCATTTCTAGAAACATTAAACGATCATTTTGATCATCAAAGCTAGAAACTTGACTTTACCTCTATTAGTGGTATAAAAGATTGAGAGTATCATAATTTCTCTTTTTTTAATAATTCTTAATTTAAAATCTCTATTTAATAATTGGTGTTGTTAATACAGTAATTCTCCATTCGAATTATATTTAATAAGTTTCACTATTATTATAAACTTAAAAGTGAGTGCTCGACTATGTAAAATTGTTGAAATTAAAGACGCAACTCAGAAAAGCAAACTAATTACAATATACTTTTAACTATAATAACAAAATTAATGGAGTATAAAAAATATTTGAATTGCTGGCCATCGGTCTGAGTTGAAGAGCGGCTGCTCAACAAAGATTTTGTAGAATGGTTGGCTATCTCTCGGTATCTTAATTTATTATTTTTTATCTCATATTGGTAGCTAACAAGCATATCCATCTAATGGTAAATGGTAGCCTTTGGTCGCCTGAAACTCCCAGGGCGTCACGTGCGTTTTGCCAACAACTTCAAAATCTTCAGGATCTCTAGAGAAACGGCAGGTAGTTTATTTTAGAATTTAAGGACAGAAGTAACAACCTTTATCACCTCACTTAGGATTCGTTAAATTACATTTGACATTATCGATTCCGATAATATTATTATTATATATTTGATATTAAGTATTACAATTTTATTCCGTGAAATCCATATGTCTTGGCAAATAATACGAAGTTACGAGAAAAATCTAGTTGGTAATAAATAAAATGATAAGTGGCATGAAAATAGACAGACTACGTAATAAAATTTGAGCGTAAATTTGACCTACTTTGCAATCCAATAAGTAAGTACTGACAAGACTTGGCCGGCTTATTGAAATATTAACAGGAGTTAAAATTAACTTCAAATATTAGTAAGGACAGTCATTTAAGTTACAACAGTACATTATAAATACAAAAGTCTGTCTGTTTGTTAGTTTTTCACGCGAAAATTAAATTTTGTTTAGTGAATTTTGATATGAAGATATATTATATTATTTGTAATAGATAAAATATATCCTATGTCTTATATATAGGATATCTTTTATCTCAGCAAATAATCTGGAATGGAATTAAATTAAATAAATGTTTTTGTTGATGAAGTGACGGGTAATATATTGTTTCCTATATTTTAATTTTCTAAATCGAAACTGTTTAAAAATTAGATTATAGAAAGTAGTTTTTTTACGTTGAGTTAAAACAACGAAATGCTTCCGGATGTTCTTGAATTCTATTTCCAGCATAGACTAATACTAATGTATAGAGTTGGGCAATGATTTTATAAAAAAATAGTTTAATTATTCGCTTTTTAAAATTGGTTCAATTATTGGCTTTTTAAAATTATTTGCTTACAAATGTCTATTCATAAATTACGAACTTGTCTCTTAACCTACTCGTTTCTGTACATACATTCAATATAATCGTGACCTGATTCTTTTAATTTGAACAGATAACCTTTTTCTGAATTTAATTTCTACAGTATTCTAATGATTTTTCTCCGCTTATAGTTTTGTAATAATAAATAAAACCATTTTAATAAAATACCTATGACATCGTTAATTTACAGCAATTCTATAGTGTGGCAAACATCTGATATTGGCACTTCATAAGATAAATACATAAGACTGCAGCATTTATTCTGCTCGATTACATAAAATTCTAGTACGGGAATAGATATACGGAAGGACAACTTTAAATAAAATTTTTGGAGAAGTTTATTTTTTTGCTAATCTACTAGAATATCGAGTTCACATTATCCCATCTCTACCATTGTTACCAGATTATATAAAACTATGTAAAATCATGTAACAGTTTAATGACGTTGATGTATGTATATCAAAACAATGTTTGAAGTGATTGGTGGTGTCGAAATACATACAATGCTTTTTACACAAAAATGTTTCCAGCGCCATTGTAATAAGGAACTCTTTATGTAGTCTTTATATATTGATTTATGTGTAAAAAATGCTTGTTTGATAATATATACCATTGATTTACGAGATTAGGTTTGCGTGTGTAACGTTTTGTGCAGAAGTATCTCTCTGGTGAAGTCTACGAAGAGATTATTTATGATTACATGTAAGTGTACATCGTTTAACTTTATATTTTTTAACACCGCGTGTTTACAGTAGAATCAGTTTTGTATTATGTATATAATACTAGTACAAACTACGTCTGCGCAAACTTTCCACCGCTATTACGTACCCTGGAATTGTTAGTTTTTAGATAAAAGAAGATAATTATCTTGTGACAATCTATTTTCATTACAATTATTTTAAGATCCGTTCAGCTGTTTACCATGAAAAGGTAAGAAACAAATGGACAGACAGTCACATTTTTATATTTACAATAATAGTACAGAAATATGAATAATTATGATATCATATTTTATGGTAAACCTACGCTGTGTAAATTCGGCATAATTGTACTGAACGAATGGACCGGGCAGGCATGATCTAGAAAATACCACACGGAATGCCCGTAATAAGTGATTGGACTTTAAGTATGTTTTAAATACTTTAAAAATATCACTACACCACATTAAACACACAAAATATTAAACACATTGCATACGTATTATTCAAGATGTATATTTAGAAACAGAAGAATCACTACATAGTATAAAATAAAGTTGCTGTCGCTGTCTGTCCGTTCCATCTGCATGCTTAAATTTTTAAAACATACATGTGTATAATACATGTCCACCCGTGCGAATCCAGAATGGGTAGCTAGTAGAATTTAAATATAAAAATTATATTCAGTATCCAATTTATTTAGGTAGACATTAATTACATGTAGGAACGGAAATTGAGTTACTTTAGGTACTTGCTAACTTCTAAACGTATGGCCCCGAAATTTTCCACGTTTAAATATTGTATTATATAAAGGAGAAAAATTAAATAAAACCTGAACAGCAGCTGTATTCAATTGTATCTTCAAATTTTAGTAATATAACTGTTTCTAAAAATCTAACAATTGATTTAACTGTCTGACATTTACAATGTAATCAATCTAACAAACTTAACAGACATTGGTAATATTTTATAACTTAATAACTGTATTTCACGATATCACCTGAAGTCCAATTTTTATAAAATGCCGGCCGCCTATGGTTTTCTGCCTACGAGCTTGTCAATTTTTTTCTTTCCGCTCAGATCTTAAATGACGAAGCTTCATGTTGAATAACCTATGACCATCTTCAAAAATTAGGCTTTAAAATGCAAAATCCGTGTTCAAAAAAAAAATGCAAGATCCGAAGATTAGCGTTAAAACAAACTCTTACTTTAATATATCTATGTGGAATGAAGTGTAAAGATAAGATTGTTGTTGCAGATCTATTCGTGGGCTTAATTTACGTGTTCGTGGATATCGTACAGAAGATCACGATAGCGTGGCTGGCCGGCGAGTTTATGTGCAAACTATTGAAATTTCTGCAGGTAAGTTAACACCGGGTTTTTTTTTTATAGCTGATAATGGAATGATGCACCCGCCTGCGCTAACGGTTTACGCTGGCGAGGCACCAGTGTAGCATAAAATGAGCATAAAGACTGGCCATCTTGACAAATAGTAATTTACTATGATGGTATCCAGGGGAAACTACGTGAAGGTTAACCTGGCCATACATTGTTAGCAATAGGGTTATTAGTCCACATTACTAACAATTCCTTTCCCCCTTAACAACTGGCGATTGTGATTTTTATGCTTAGTAGTCACAAAAATAGATAAATCTAGGTACATAAGGATAGTACTTCAATGTATAAGATTATACGTTTACGTAATATATATCGGTATATCCTTTAGGATATACCGAGCCAATATTAAAAAAACTGAACCTGTTTCACCAAGAAACAAAGTTGCTGAATACAAATATTTAACTTTGATACAGACGGACACTTAAATTTATAATATCAGTAAAGATTTCCAACTTTACTTATTCAGTTTCATGAATACTACTACTATCATTTTCAGCTTAGTCATGGCCTTTTACTATTCATCTTGTAGGTATATTTTTCCCTAGTACTAAAATATATTAGTTTAAAATAGTAAATTAACAATATACTACTTTAAAGTGTCAAGTTCATGTTAATTTTATGCATATGAAATTGCTCCTAATTCAATATATTTTAACTTATTTGTGTAACTTAGCTTCTTAGAGTTAAACGCAATGGGCCGTTTCAATTTAATTTTATATTAACAATGACTTAATATAAAGCCTCCTTTGTTACAATGATGTTTAAATTTTACAAATTAATGAAATGTGTAACACTTTTTACTTTTAATAATTTTCACGAACGTAAAGTACCTCCAAGAGTTAATGTTAATATTTTAAAAGTAGATCATAAGTTTCAACGCCAGTTGGCTTTAATAATTTAAGGAAGAAAAAAAAGTACGAAAAGTTTTATAAAACAGGTTAATTTTTAGACCCAACATTTTTGAATGTACAAACAATTTTTTAACAATTTACTTTTATATGCATTATATAATTTCTCACTTTACACCGTGTATGTTTAATTAAGGTAAAACCGTAAACCATTCCGTACGGAGTCTTTGAACATCCTGATGGTTTATTTTTTTTTTATGTTACTGGAATTATAGGCAAGCTACCGGATCACCCTTTAGTGAGTGGTAACCGTTCGTTACCACTCACTAAACATTCATACCATGTTTACCATGTTTATTATTATTATTTTTTATATACTATATTATCAATTTATTTGCATAACCTAATTGTACAACTAAGAACCTAAAATTAAAAAGCTTAAAAAATATGATATAATGAATAAAACATATTATTAAAAGGGGTCCCTTTAGACAAAGTTCCGAAGATACTGGCAGCGTTCCCTCTTTGAATAGACAATTTTTTTGTCCAAGGTAGCTGCCAGCTCTTCCATGTTTATTATGTAATGCATGTAGTTCTACTAATGCGTTGGTCAACTACATAATCTGTAATGTGACGCTAGTTTAAAGAACACATACAATATAGCCATAAGCTATATTTTTTTATTCCATTTTATGAAAAAGAAAATTTATATAAAAGTATATTAGGCTAAATGTAAGTAATCCTTTAACGTATCAGAATTTAGAATAGAAAAAAAAAACAAAAGTAACGAGTTATTTTAGCTGTATTATTTCTATTTTGTGTTCTTATTCTGTAGTCCTTCATTAAAGTGAAACAACGAGGCTCAGTTTGGGCGTACATTTGTATAAAAAAATAAAAAAGGCTCTTTTGAAGCCGTCATTTTGGGTGAAGTATGTCGTTTGGTACTTTTATCTTATGCGGCAGAAATATTTTAACTATTTTCAACCACCTGCCAAAATAAGGATCTTATAATTCAACAACATTTTATTTTCCTGAGGGAGACTTTGTAAGGAGTCATCTACTTGGGTATCTATGTGTACCTATTTCAGTTGTCAATTTTAAATTGTTCGCTTGTAGAGTGAGATTGGATAGGTAAACATACTAACAATATAGAAATGAATAGAATAGTATATTACTCGTCCGGAATGGCAACGCTTGAGTAGTATCACGGACATCATATGCTGACGTGATGTACCATATATAGGTAGTTAACATCAAGTTGTCGGCTTGGTTGGCGTTCCCATTACATAAAAAAACTTTTTTTAGATCTATATATTTAATTTCTTATATGTGTTTTTTATTATCTTTGACACGTGATTGCATTATGCATATGATCCAAGAACATCGAAGAAAAGTCATTAATTTCAATCTTAATAATCTTAATATTTATTCCTGACTCTTGTGTATCCTTGATGGATGATACACGGTGTACCTACCTGGGCTATCAGTTACCACGTGGGGCACTAATAAATGGTCAGAAGATAACAATCAAGTCAGGTTATTCAGCCGATATATGTGAATTTATCATGATAAATTCTAGACAAATCCACAAAGACGTTGACCAGTAAGAGTACAATCCGTTCTCTTCTACCATACTGAAGCTTGTGTTTTTAATCTGAATATTAATAAAAATTGTTTGTTTCTAGGCTGTGGTTATGTACGCATCCACATACGTGTTGGTTGCTCTCAGTATAGACCGCTGCGATGCCATCACAAACCCTATGAACTTTTCCGGAAGTTGTAAGTATAAATAATCCTTAGTTCCTTACTAATATTATAAATCGAAAGTAACTCTGTCTGTCTATCGGTCACACTTTCACGCCAAAACTACAGAATTGATTTAAATTATATTCGGTACAGATTGTTTAGACCTTCAGAGAGGACATAAGGCTACTTTTGGATGCGAAAAATTGGTTGTATAGGGTTGAAAGTGAATATGAAAAGTTGTATGGAAGTATCTTCATTTTTAAAGCTAGTTTTTAGGCTGTTGATTAACTATAAATAAATATGATATTGAAAGTTAAAATAATTCCCTCAATAGTGTCTTGTATTTACCTACCGAATTTTGTGTCTTAAATGAAATCTGTAAAGTTACATAATAAATAATTTTAGTTTTAGTTCAATGTTCTGTAATAACATTCTAATTATTATATGGCACGTTGTAAGTAGTAGAAAGTAAACAGAAAGTTTGTTTGAACAAAGAAAGTTAGTCACTGGCTACGTCCAAACAAAATTTTCAATGTGCTTTAAAATTCACAAATTACTGCCAAAACATTTTGTGGAATGGGCTCATAATAATTAAAAGATATTACAACAAATTTCGATATTAAACTTACCAAAAGCAGTAATAAAACATTAATAGGTACTTATAAATCTATAGAAACTTTTTTTATAAATAATGTCAGGACGAATAAATAGTTAATAACTGTTCTTTATGATAATGTACTAATGTACTAAATATTGATGTATTTTATCAATTTCCAAAGTATATAATTATATATATCCAATATTTTTTTACGTTATATGCTATGTTTTATATTAAAGTACCGAATAGAGAATTCAGAGATTTCAGAGAAGTATTTAGGCATAGAAATGTTTGAACTAAATAAAATTCCAAACGATTTCAGTTACTAGTACATTTATCAGTAAATGCTAATGGATATTTTGGTTTTTATTACTAAAGTTTGGAAGTTCTTTTTTCAAGGTGAAAATGTATATATACGAGTAATATAAAATCAAAATAATTTATTCGTGTAGGACATTTAGCCGCTTATGAACATTAAGTTTTTTGTTCCAATATTTTTTTCCCTAACATATAGTTTAGTATACAGACTGGCAAGAAAATCGACTGAATTTCTTTATCTTAAATCCAGTTTATTTACAATGTAGCTATACTTATATAGGTGTTATCCCATCAAATCCCATGAACAACTATTGCTACGCATGTTTGTCATTTATATAACTGTTTAGTGAGTAATTCATCTGCACAATAAATATAATTTAACTGATGTTTTAAATTTATTTAAATGATGTACTGGAATGTAAACTAATTCCAGTATATCCTTTGGTATGTTTAAAATTTTATTAATTAAAAAAATCGATACCGTACTTAGAAACAGTAAGTTCTTTAAATTGTAATTCTAAAAGTTGTCTTTAAATTTATTATTAATATTATGAATATGGTAAAATATGGTATTAATGTTATATATTTACATTTGAAACCTTAGAACATGCTATAATGTGTCATTTATAAATAACGGTAATACATCAACCAAACCACATGCGAGGGATGAAGGCAGCTTGAATTTCTTTGTTGACCTCACGTTGGCTGTGTAAGCATTTATGATAGATGAAAAATACTTATATTATTAAACTCAAGGAGAAATTGACGTGTTTTTTATTATTAAACTTTTTGAATTTTTAATTAAGTATAACAAAATTTTTATTACACATTAAATCTTTTTAAACATATAACAGCAAGAAGAATTCTAGTTAAACTGTTTTTTTAAGTAACATGTATCCTTTTTGTTGTATATTCAGATATACATTTTTATTATATATTAGATATAAACTTATTCATACCAAAACAAAAGCAACATGTCGTCATGACTGTTATATAGGGAATGGGGTAGTCAGAGATATTGTTAAATGGTGACGTTGTGGTGAACGTAACACTTGACTGTCCACAACAATGTTGTTGACAGTCAAGTGTTGAATCTAACGTGGCAAGGGGACAGTAATCGCTATCTCTTGGATATTTTTTTGTATCAATCATATCTTAATGTTTTTTTCATCAGACAATCAGTCAGAAATGTAAATTGAAATACATCGTATTTTTTTGGTATCACTTAGATTTGAACTCACGATCGCTAGACCAAAACGCTTTTATGACCATTGAAACCAAAAAAAAATTATAGTAATTTTTTTTTATTTCTATGGTAATTTTTTGTATATAAAAATAACGGCGTAAATTACATTTCACTAATCATATTGATATGATCACATGCCATTCTTAATCTTAAGGTTATAAACAAAAAATTATATAAAGTATTGTTTTGAATACCGTGGTAACAAAGTCGCGGGCTGAGCTAGTGAGGACTAGACAGAACTCACTTTCTCCCATTATTGGTATACTCGATCTTTATTCATGATCCCTGAACTTATCTTCCTCAATTAACTTTTCTATTTAACAAAACGACCGTTTATATATTTTTTACAGTTCAATGTTGAAAAAGTCGTAATCCTTTTCACTTCGTTTTATGTTTTTAATTAAATAAAATTTATGCGCTTTTGGGGTAGAAGTGTTTTATTTATTTTTTACTCGCATATAATGGAAAGGGTTTCGCAGAATGTGAATATTAACATTGATTATGATTTTAATTTAATTTTTACATAAATATACAAAGTACAATAAATATTTATCATTATATATACACACTAGGTCTTTATTATTACAAGCCCAATTTGTCAGTAGATGTCTCACGAATTCATTTAAATAATAATTTATAAGTTTTAATATAATAAATTAGTCATAATAAAATAATAACATTAATTGTAAAGTAGGTATGTACACGTAAACAATATAATATTTAATTTATTCGATTCACAAATACATTGCTTTTGATGTCTGTTTATGACATTTTAATTATTGTAGAGAGATTATAGATAATATTATTTATTGATGCTGAATTATTGAAGAAACAAGTTATAATTTAAGTTGCATTATTAAATTATTCTTCTCTTTGTATATTAATATTATATCACAATTTATCATTATTATTTTATAAATGTTTAATTAGTTATTGATTTGTTGTGTAGAAATGTAGTGTTTTGCTTTATAAAAAATATTATGTTCAGTGAACTTTGAGTTTCAAATATAATTAGTTTTCTATCGTCTTGAATGCTCTTTAATTTTAATACTTTATAGAGCCTCTCGATGAAAAGCCTTTCCTCTTTTCTATAATTTTCTAGAGACTATTTATAATAATGAGGACATCAATTTCATTAAGTCATTATAAAAAGGTTGTGTAAGAGTATATTTTGTTGTTAACTTATGCATTATAAAAAAGTAAAATTACTCTTAAACATTTAACATTTGTATAAAATTATTATTATTTAATTAACAATTTATAAAAACTTTATTTATGTAATATTAAACTGTTTATAATATTATTATATATTATTATTTTAATTATTGAGAGAAAAATAAAAAGAAAGAGGGGGAGAGGAAAACCAAGACATAGCTACATTAAGCAAATTAAAGACAAAATTGGAGTACTATCAAATGAACATTTAAAGAGCATGATTGAAACTAGTGGAAAATGGCAAGAGCTCCACCGACAAGAGCGTGGCTCTTAAATTATGAATGAGTGTGTTAATATTCTCATATCTATAGTATTGTGTAGGTCTATAATTACATATAATGGTGTTAAACATTCTAATTATACACTCATTACCTGACCGCCCTCTTGATGGTAAATGGTAACCATCACCTTTATACATGTACGGAATCACGAAATATAGGTTAAAATAGAATACAAAAGAAAATCATTTATTCAAATAAATTTACATTGAAGCACTTTTGAATAGTCCTCATCAAATTTGAATAGTTATCATCTGTTAAGCTCGCCGTAACTCCTATGAAGAACTACAATGTCAGGCCTACTGTGTAATTTGTCTAGTGTCCCTTCAACCGAAACATATCTAATAGACTAAATAAGTGAGTCAGAGGTTCCGCAGATAATTTTATACAAACTATAACTGGGTAAATAAACATTTAAAGTAAAATGTATTGTTTCAACGGATAATATATATAAATAATTTTTGGACATATTTTATTAATTTCCAGGGAATCGAGCTAGGGGTCTGGTTGTATCAGCATGGCTCATCAGTATAGTCTTCTCTATACCTATCTTCATCCTCTACGAAGTTAGAAAAGTTCAAGGTAATTGTTTTTCTCTAAACCAGAGTAATCTTTACATAGTGTAAATGAAGTCACTTCCGATATATATTTGCTTAGAGCTTTTAAAGTACGCAACGTATTTTAAAGCAGTTTTAACAATAGATAGAGTAATTCAAGAGGAAGATTTATATGTATAATATATGTACACCCGTTTGATGCCGGGGGGGCAGCAAGTAATAGGTAAGCAGTAAATAATAAAGAGAGAACACTTTATACAGTATAATTGACGGCAATTTTTATTATATAAGATGTCTTGTAGTAGGCTTCTTGGTTGGTAGAAAATAGACATAGACATATTACGGCCAATTAGTTCTTAAAACACTGTAATTAATGAAATTAATGACATATATTTTTTTATAATTTAGGAGTTGCTTCAAGATTTAATCCGGATTTAAACGTTTCTCAAAATCACTATCGCTAGGAATGTGTCTATAAACAAATATGGTTTATTATCGGTTGTATTCTCTCTTGACATTTTTACTCTGAGTTTTAACTAACTTATACTTTTCCGTACGAAGTGCCAAAACAATTCTCCAATTCAATTTAAAATTGACAAATTCCCTATTCTATAACCTTGTTTTGTGTGTGTACTTCAATGTTTTAAGAGATGTTTTTATAAAATATTTGTCGCTTTTAAAAGCAGTAGGTACAATACCTACCTGAAATGTTCACATTGGTGACAATATATAAATATATGAAAGATGGCGAGCCGTCTCTCTGATTAATTTTTTTGTTGTAAACCAGATTTAAACGTTAATTTAATTCTCTCTCACGACCTTTGGCGGTCTATGAAAATATTAATAAACCTAGGTTATACAATATACATGTAGATAATAAGTAGTTTTTTGCAAAATAGTATCTATCAGATCTATAATTTCGTCCACATACTCAACATAAAAAGTAGTCCTTCTTAATTCCTAGTGTTACATGTATGGAAAATTTTATGATAATCAGTAGAATAATCAGTTGCGGCTCTACATCCAAATCTTTATATCGCTAATTAATGATCGGTGTTTATTCACAAATTTGGAGAATAGATAGCTAGTAGTGTTAGTCGGATAAATTATTAATTAAATGATAATAATAATAAAAGCCATTATTCACAATTTTAGTTTTTTTTCTAGATTTACAATAATTTTCTGCTACTGTAACTGTTCGATGAACATAGGGTTTTTACAACCGTCTTCGGTATGGTATCGGCATTTTTTGTCCAAATACCAAAACTAACTGTTAAAACTTTGGTCATCTATATATATATATATATATATATATATATATATATATATATATATATATATATATCATTATCATGTTAGTCATAAGACCGCCTTTTGTATAACTTTTTATCATTTTTTTATTGTTCTTTGTTTGTCTGTGCGCAATAAAGAGTTATTATTATTTATTATTTATTATTATTATTATTATTATCATCTGTATGGTCTACTTTTTACTTTTTAATATCATTTGTATAATATTATTGCTTTACAATATTTATATATATCCTTTAATTTATATATCCCCTACTTCATTTAAGTTTCTTGATTCTGACTATAACATATTTGTATATATTTTTTATTCTTATTGTTTTACTTTTATCTGATATTCCTATCATGCTTCTTTCTATGGTGTTCTGACAAATCTGTAGTGTTGAGGGTCCTTGCTAAGGAACCATGTTTGAGAACCATAATCATGAACAGATGAGATATAGGTATTATAGAGTTTAGGTTTTAACTATAGTCATATATTTTTCATTCATTTGTATTCAATACAGTTTCCTAATACTCGAGCTGTAACCCCATCAAGTATCCCGTAATACCTATGGTTATATTCTAAAGCTATAAAACTTCTTATCTGTCGATAACGATAAGTTCCACGTCAACAGTATCCGTTATCCCATTTACGATATCATTATTTGTAAAGTACGGGTAAGGATTATTATATAAAGTAGATTTAACGAAATTTCTCAGAAAAAATTAAAAAAATTGATGGACTATCTATCTAATCTACAGAAATTTAAAACGGTAAATAAACTATCCTATGACAAACTTCACTAACGTCTATAATGGCTACTGTTTGTAGGCTTATTAAAAAAAATGAAATGCATACATAATACACCTTTGCCTCCCTATATGGTGTATAAGAAAAAAAAAATAGCTGGACTTAAAAGAGGAAGAATACTTTTTGTATTCTTCCTGTCAGTACATAAGTATATAATGTGAAACAAGTTTTCACTAGTTTTAATGCTTACGAAACATTACAACTCTTTATAATTTCGAATAATCTACTTATAAGCGTCCTTTATGATAAATGAGAATTTTACTAAAATTTAAGTACATTATTTTTAGAACAAAATCCTTAATATAACCTATACAGTATTTAGAAACACCTAAACTAGAAACTACTATTAATTAATAAAGTAGTGGCCATTTTGATAGGTATTAGGTGCAATATACCAAGTACCTTAAAACCTTTGTGGTTAATTTCTTGTAAATTCGCTACTATGGACTAACTTACCTATCACCACACTCATCCTATCTTCTTGCACTGGTTATCCTCCATCTTATATCTACCCATATTATAAATACGACCCATGCTTGATTCGTAACCGTACTATGCTAAAAAACTCTATTCTACAATTCCAGGCGAGCTCCAGTGCTGGATAGATCTAGAAACACCTAGAAGGTGGCAAATCTGGATGACTCTAGTGTCAGTGATGATCTTCGTGTTGCCGGCTCTGGCCATAGCAGCATGCTATGCCGTCATCGTGCTAACCATATGGACGAAGAGCAAAGCAGTAGTCATGAGTCCACCTATAAATTCTAGAAGAACTAAGACTATGAGAAATGGTGAATACTTATAATATATTTTATACCTAATAATTAATATTAATTTCGTAATATAAGATGGGTTTTACATATATACCTATATATATGGTAAAGAATTGATATTATTAGTATAATAATGTACTGGATACTGATGACCTATGCAGTAGAGTAGTTTAACGGTTGTTAGTCCGATTACTATAATCTAGATGTCTCTGCTCCTTATTATTTATATATTCATAATATATATGTCTTTATACTATATAAAAATTATATATTTTAAATTATGTATTTGTTAACAATATTATGTTATGTAGATATCTGTTAATACTAAAAATAAACTGTCTTTCTGTAATATAGGATTCTCTTCTATCAATTGTTTAGTAATTTATAGACATGATGCTGTGTAGTAATTATCTTATTATTGTTAATAAGTACTAAATACGCTTAGTACTAAATTAGCTTTACAAATATTATGCAAATAATAACGAAAAATATCCCAAGCAGGATTGATTACGCAAAATATTCCTTATTATAAGGAACATCTGATAAAAAATGAATAAAAAATACTATACTCAGTACATTAATTATTTGCTTTTAAAAACCGTGTAGTTATACAAGTAAATATATTATAGTCATAGATAATAATTGCTAATATTTTAGTTATGGCTTTTGTACGTGGTTAGTAAAATATAGGATAAGTTTTGAGTCTGGCTCGATTTCAAATAACCTGTTTTATCTGATATAAAAGTTTCGAGATCTGTGCCAATTAAATACATTATGTAGATTATATTGTCTACTGTTAAGACATAAATTTGGACAAAGTATAAGTAAGTACACTTACGCATCCAGTTTTCCGCATATTGGATTGTTAAATCATCCATTTACACAATACTAATATTGTAAAGAGAGATAACAAATTTTGTTATGAGGAAAGTAAACTCCAAAACCACTTAATTTGAGAAATCATTTCAGCTTGAAATAATTTCGCATATTAATGTTCCTAATATATTCGTATATAAAATTTACAGAGTTATGAGTACCTAGACGATCCGCTGGTGAACCGCGATTTTTAATATAAATATATATCAAAAATTTGTATAAATTGTATATTTAAAATATACAAAAGCTTATATTCATCTGATATTTTAATATTCATCATTTATCCCAATACAATTAGGTTTCCTCAATTTAGTCCTTGCGTACGCTATGCTTTAATAACAAAAAAACATTATAGTATCTTATAAAATATATTTAATTATGTACATAAAAAAACTCTGGTTACGACATTTGTCTGGGATAAGCAAAAATACTTAAATGTTTTTTATAAAATTTGATTTCTCTGTGCTTAATTTAGTCCTTCTTAAAAAATAAAATAGTTTCTATAATACTCGATATTACATTTATTTAGTCTCAGCAACTCGTAGCTAAGACACTTAAAGTGAGTCAAAATAACATAAAATTTCGAATCTCCTTCTTATACTCTATTAAAAATCAGCTCAGGTGAAAAGACACGAAACACGCTTTATACAAAAAAAAACGTTACAGAAAACAGTGATATGTCTGACGCGTAGCAAATGACTTTCATTTTAATGTATTCCCCAAGGAATGCGAATTAGAATTTAAGAGGATATTCTCTTACGCGCTACGTACAAAACGTACTTTATGGATATTTTCTACTACAATAAATTAAATTCGAGGATATTTTCTAGAAAGGTCATAAATATTATAGTTTAAACGCTGTAATGTCTACAAACGCTTAAGTGTTTTAAATTTTTTTTTTTTTAAAAACACTTAGGCTTTAAAATATATAAATAACATTGAATTTTAAATAATACTACTTATATTTACAATATACCTATAATTTGATAGAATAATCCAAGTAGAATATACATGATGTCTCAAATATAACCAAGACAGCGTGAGCATATCCGAAACAGAAACCTAATGCTCATGGACACGTCGGCGATAAACTCCCCTTAACATTCGGTTTTTTATTTAACTTTTCCAGGTCAGGTGGAAAGTGACCCGGATTCGCGGCGTGCTAGTTCCAGAGGACTAATACCTAGAGCAAAAATAAAAAGCGTCAAAATGACGTTCGTCATTGTATTCGGTAAGTCATGCAATCATTTTTAATAAAATAGTAATAGTAATAATTCATCCCCACACGCTAGAACCTAAGTGGTCTCGGACAGTACAGTTTCAGAGGAGCTTCCTCCCGCGTACACTTAGATTGTGGAATGAACTACCCGCCGAGGTTTTCTCACGAGACCACAGCATGGGGTTTTTCAAGAAGGGTATATTAAGGTTTCTTAAGGGTCGGCAACGCGTATGATTGTTTGCTACCATAGTAGAGTAAATTTAACTAACGCGATAAGAGACTGAGCTATGGTTATTAACTATTAACAGTGGCTCTACAACGGACAATATATCCTTAATAATATAATTTTACATTGAATTGTAAAATTTACAATAATATATTTATAGATAAACATTTAATGTTTATCTGTAAACATTTGAACAGTTTCGTATCTTAAGTGCACTGTACGAGCTAAGAATGTCATGTAATTTTGTGATGTTTTTTATGTGAAGCTTTATAGAGGACATTAAATAATTCTAAATAATATCATTTGGGATTTTTTTAATTTAAGGAGGTATACAACAATTAAATTTATTTGGCAGTTACATAACACTGAAAATGTATAAAAATGTCTCTTATAATTTAAAAAATCAAGTTCTGCACATCTACCCTTTGTATGTATGCGACCTGATAGAATATATTATATATGATATATAAAATATCGTATGAAATAAATATATATACTTTATAAGGTTCTTTCTGTTGTTTTTAAAATATTTTCTAAAATAACACCTTTCACCGTTTTCAGTGTTCGTCCTGTGTTGGTCACCGTACATTGTATTTGATCTATTACAAGTGTATGATCAAATACCAAGAACTCAGAACAGTTTGGCGTTAGCTACACTTATACAAAGTTTGGCCCCACTCAACTCTGCCGCCAATCCGTTGATATGCTGCATGTTCTCGCCTCATATTTATGCCAGTTTAAGGTATATATATGCACTTGTAGGTTTATAATTATGATCCTGGTAACTTCATCTGTAACACGTAAGAAAGAGAGAGAGAGAGACGATATTATTTCAATTGGAATCAATACATTCAGAAATTATCGCGTTCAATCAAATATACCGATACTTGTGTAGTTAAAAATACTGAAATAAAATGAACTTATTTACAGAAAACAGTAAATGGAGATAATACAATTATTGGTAACTGTTTAATTGCGCCAATTTATGGGCTTTTTTTTATTTTATATACACTTCATTGCACCGAAGTTAGAAAGTTTAACGTAAATATGAAGTTCAATATTATTAACCAATAAATCTATCATCCATGCATTTTTATAACTATCATCATGTCTATTCTACTTGCCGGTTTAACCGAGAGATGTGCCACCATACTTGCATAACAATCAAGTACAATATTTTAAACCAAATTTAATGAAACTTAAAACTAAATTAGTTTTAAGTTTCATTAAATTTGCTTGATTTTTTATATATATATTATGTCTGTTTATACTGTATGGTTTACCACAGGCGCGTACCACCATACCGGTGGTTGTGGTGCGGACGGCGACGGCGGCGCGCTGGTCGCGGCACGCTGCGCTCACGCTCCGACTCTACTGCCAACTCCGACTTGCTGAGCTCTACACACGCCAGGCGCTCGCATTCTGTTGCTACAGTAATGTCACGCATCTTAAAAAAATTAAATAGCCTTTGTACAAAGTCAAAACATTGCAAGCATTTTGATACACGTATATCAAAATCTTTGTTTCGCCTGAAGGTCTCAACCTTCTGGTATGTGAAATTACAAGTTATGTGTGAGATAAAAATACTCCTTAATCAAATAAACTTAATAAAAGTACTTTTTAATAGTCATATTTTTGTTATTGTACCTTGGATTGCAAACTTATCACAAGAAGAACGAGCAAGAAATTTGCGTGTGAGATCATAGTAGATTGTAATCTATCTAAATGGTGATGCATAAGGTCATATCACGATGTAATCATCTCATATAAATAAGCGACTATTACCACTTACCGTCAGGTGGATTGTTAGCGACTGTTATTGTTTGCAATTCCAACGATAAATAAACCCTAAATCCCACGTTGGCCGCCAAAACAACATTTAAAATTAGCTACGTATACTCTAGATGTCGTAAAAACTGACTGATTTTATTCTAAAGGATTAAAATAACATGCATCATACTTTGTAATATCACTGTCATATCTCGCTCTTCAACTGAAACACAGTTATAAGCCTATAGCTATTTGCATTAATTAAGAATGACAGTATCAGACTATGAATTCATCTAATTGATCACGATGATAGAAGGCATATCGGTAAAGCATCTGTAAAAGTGTAAGAATAAAGGATCTAAAAGTGTAAGGATGTACGAATTCTGGGAAGGTTGTCATGATAATTTAGATAGTGTGCTGTTGGAAGAAGGAGTAAATCAATCAGGATATTCACATATTCACAAAACAGAAGTTATAAAAGAGAACGTAATAAGGCACAACTCATAGGCTTGTGTAATATAACCACTCCTTATTCTCTGTCTACTTAATAATAGTCCGGGAGTTAAGGTAGACAAATATAAATCAATTACTTAATAATATTTCAGATATTGAATAGAACAAGAAGTGGCAGTGTGTCCCGTATGCATACGGATCCTCGCCGTACGCAGCTTCTAGTATTGGTTTCTGCGCGCGACTGACGGCGGGCGGGGAACGGAGCGGCGAGCGGAATGATGAGCGGGGCGATTAGCGGAGCGACAGGCGGAGCGGGCCGAACGACGTTCCACGACCTCGCACCTGATGTGATGCTCTAGCGTCGAACTGAGGGGACCGCCCCATACGTGCATTGCTGTGTCCATAGACATCAGATGTAACTATGAACGAATTAATTTTAATAAACACATTTCTGATTAACATAAACAGGGCAAATATAGATATGAAACGAGATAAATAAATGTATTATGTTTATGTAGTACTCTCTAAACGACGGCTATTTATGTACTTAATGACTGAGATAGTAATTTGTAATATATGTATGTAAAATTTTGAAATTTTGAGTTTATTAGTAGAATACCATTAATTGAGAAATTAATAAAATATTGTTTGACAAACCCTTGTATTTTAACTATTTAAAAATGGATAATTATTTAAAAATATAAGCACTAGCGAACTTTTTCTAAACAGATGAGACGTTAATTACAATTTTATATTATTATTTACACTTTTATTTACTAGAAAATTGTTTATGAAAGTGAAAGAAACCAAGCATTTTTGGTACTATTGACACTTACAGTAAAGTCTGTAATTAAACAACAGAATATCATATTTCAGCAATAGCTTGCTTCGTAAGGTTTGTTTCGATTGCAAAGTGTGATGCAAATATGCCACTGAATTTACGGAGACTTATCACCTTAATCTGCAGGAGTAGTACACCACCATATGGTGTTGAACGCCACTTATCAGCTTGTTTGACATATAGTTACTATAGACAGAAGGTTTTTTTCATTTAATTTTATACACATAAGCAGAGACGCTGCTACTCTAGCCCTCAGAACCTGTATCCTTTAAATTTTGCATTATATGGCTTTACTTTTTTTATTTTTGTAAATGAAAACCTAGAAATCGGTTACAATGTAATATGTGTAAACGCAGTAGATACAGCATGTCTAAATTATACTAAAACTAATAAACTCAAAAAGGTCAAACCGTAAATATTTTCGTAGATGTAGGTTATAAATTGTTGAATGCTGACATAGTTTACGTGTTTTATATGCGAACTTGTTAAAGTTGTGTGGTTGGAATATATTACAATGAAGAACAGAAAAGTGGGATGGATTATGTCTAATTAATTATAATTGTTTACCTCCTAGGTAAGGACCTCTTAGGAATACATGACTGTAAAAAGAACGTATTAAGCTGTAAGAAGTTTCTGTGTATACTTTTTCAAATTTGTCCATTCAAAACTAAAGTGAAATATACACACAATCTACCGATGTTATATTAATATTATTATTTCATATTACATGTACGTAAGTATTACTTAAGTATACAAAACTTCAAGACATCTTCTATACTTTATGGCCAAATTTTCGAAGCTATAATAATATTTTACAATTTCTTCGAATAGACGATCTATGTATGGATTTGGCAAATTTTTTTACAACGAAATTAATACTTTTTAATGTTATTAAATTAGGTTTATTTTAATGAAGTTCAATGTTTCTACCAATGTAAATACAATGGACTTCAGTAAAATAGTCTAGATGTATGTAAAGTAGTTATTGAATTAGCAGATAATTGTAATTATTTTATTCGGCTGTATTTGTATATGTTAGATAAAAAAGTATTAAGAAAAATATACTGACTATGCGCAGAGGCTTCAATATCCTCCTTTATGTTTCATTTCGTTCTTTTATCTGTATCTTTTACATTATTTATATTTATAACTTAGTAGTTAGTAGACACAGATTATAATAAGCACAATTGCATTTATATTTGCCAAAGATTAATAATATTGGGGTCGTGTTAAATGTTTACTTTCGTTATTTTTGTTCATTATTTTTAACAATTTTAAAGGCATTACTATACGAGATATTTATTAGAGCTTTATTTATACTTATTAGAGCTAGATTTTATATAGTAAAAGAAAACAATAAATACGATACTATAATCACGGGATCTTACCACGTTTTATATTTATTTATCACGGGTAAAATAAATCATGGTGGTTGAAACATTACCGAAATATCGGGAACTCAGCAAATAAAATAATTACTATTAATTTGTATGATAGGTATAGTTTTTCAATGAAACAGTTTTTTCTAGAATAATCTTCAGTAATCACAACGACAATTATAATTGAATATCTTTTCTTTAAAGTATTTTTATTTATTTTAGTTGTTTTTGTAATAGACACTAGAACTTTTAGAATATCTTAAAGTTTGTTTCAAATCTGTATGTTTGTCTATCAATCATAGTCATTGTTATTGCAGTATTACGAGATCTATTTTTTATAATGGAATAGTGCTCCCGCTTGTTAAACGATGGCTCTGGCGGTGCACCTGTGGAGGATGATACAGTGAGGTTGACATCGGGGATATGGTGGCAAATTAACCAGGAATTTATAATGATTATTTTCGGCAGAACTGTATGGAAGGCGACCTGTACACTGCTAATAATGTGGTCATTAGTCCACAAAGTCCTTACGCACAGAAATATAGTATATTAATTAAAAATTAACAGAAATATTTTACATTATTGTATGAATATTGCATAATAATAGTGTCACAGATATAATCCAGAGATAAGCAGTTTAAATAACAAATTTAGTTTACGAATGTATTATAATAAAAATTACATTAGGTAATATTAAGATTTAAAATATTTCTTTACAAAGCAAACATGCTTTAAACCTATTTATTTCATAGACTAAGGTTACTAAGGTACTGTTAATTAAATTATTATAATCTACAAATTAAATATATTCAACAATATTTAAAATTAGTTTTTTAATTATAATATTTGCTAAATAATATCTACTAAATACTTATTTATTATTATCTTGAAAGCGGTATAAAGTCGATAGTACCCTTTTAAATAAATTGTATGCCATATAAAGGAATCTAATTCACTGGTACATGTATTATATTTTATAACTATATGTAAATGAGGCTATATTTATTGTAATATTAGATTAACACAGTGTAATTAAAATGTACAATTATTTTTGTACTGCTGATGAATTGTATATAAATTATGTAAGTTAAAATATATAAAGATTTTATTAAATGTGTGTATCAGTTTTGTCGTATTATTTCCCTACTTTATAGAGCTCCAGAGTTCCATTATAAAGTATTAGTATTTCTCGTGGCTTTGTCTATATCATCGGTATAACTTAAATTATGAGAATAAAAGGGGGACTATGTCATTTCCCAAGTCTACTCAAACTCCCAAACTTTACTCCTTCTATGAGAACTAAGAACAAATACTTACATAAAATATTACTTTACTAAGCTGAGGTATCTCCATCTCATTTATTAAGACAGTCAAGTACAAAGCCTTATATGTTATATGCGTTTCGATTGAAATAGGGCAGTGAAATTACAGGTTACAGAGTTATAACATCGAATTCCTCCGGAATGATAATTCGTGTAGGTCTACAATAGTCTTCTGATATGTCAAATCCTGGAATACAAGAGTGGTACCACCGGCGTCTGTTAAATAAGCTGATTGGCAGCTCAAATATATGACAGAAAATAATTCTATTTGAATCTTAAAAAATTTTAGGTACATATGTTAATTATTATCTGTGCTCAGTATTAACATCACATACAGCTATGACGCGCTCGTCATCCTACGCGGCTGCGCGCCGTGCAATATTGTGTGTCTGTGGCGCATTACGTTTACGCGGGAAAATAATAATAAAAAAAAAACTTCTTCTGCAGATATACTGTTGTGCTCTTCATTGTTTACTTTAAATGTAATATACTACCTTTATATAAACAACATGAATAGAAATACTACCCCTACTAAAAACAAACGCAAACTCCATATTTCTGAATTCTATTTCCGTAAAATTATAAGAGAAATCCTAAGGCTATATATACATAGTTAGACTTTAGAGTTAGTTAGTCTTAGGGTCGCCATTTTGTTTGCAAAGATACACCTTGAGCGCTAAATACCTTTTTTGATAAATCGCCAATTTTAGAGGGAAAATAAAATGTAGCCTGGAAGCGATTGCTCTTTGAAGAATATAATATATTCCACCTACAAGTTATGTAGATGTGTATTCTATTACAAGTTTTAAAGTATCTATATTGTATAAAGTTAATAAAAATATTATTATTAGGTAAAAGTTTTATTAAAAAATAGTACTCATATATAAAGTAATATGCCAATATTATTGATTATTAATGTTTGATATATGTATATATCAAAGTAGTAAACTTTTGAAACGTAGTTAAATTCCAGAAATGATTTGTACTTGTGTTTCAAATAATAAATATAAAGTATCAAAACGTACAACGTACCAAAATACTTAATTGAAATAAAACACTTTATAAAGGTTTTAACTTCCTTTTTTTGTTAAAATACTTACTTGGCACTAGTAGCAATCTGTGCAATTATGCATCTATGTAAATGTTAGAATTAATTTAAATAAAAAAATAAGTATATTTAACATATTTATTTGTAATGTTAGGAAAACTGTGGTAAAACTACTTCTTCATTTTATCTTTTATCTAATACCATTTGTAAATATTTTAATTTACAGTACTAATTTTTTTGTAAAAAAGTAACATCATTGTAAATAATTTATTTGTACAAAAAATTGTACTATATACATCTACTGAATTTATTCAAAATTGATTTCACATAGGAAACTGCATTATCAGAAAGAGCCTATTTTTTCTATTATTTTTTATTAACGTAAAAAAGCCAAGAATAAATTGTATTATTATTTTCAATATCTACAATACTTATACGCACTCGCAGGATACTAGGGTAAGTTGCAGCATATATTCTCTATGCCCTTCCAGTTTATTCTTATAAAGAACAATACAGCGTGAACATTTATCAATCTACTGCCTAATTTAGCAGCCGGTCTATTGTTAAATATCGCTGGCAATGACAGCAAAGTTACTAATTAATGACTGCCTTGAGTAATGGTAATTACAGTTTCTTAAGATAAAGAAGGTATGTAAGTGGTGTCTGTGAGATATCGTCATAATATCTTATTAATATTATAAATGCGAGTGTTTGTAAGTATGGATTTAAGGATGTTTGTTACTCTTTCACGCAAAAACTACTGAACGGATTTTCATAAAGCTTTACAGTAATATATCCAATGTCTTTATTCATGTAGATCCATTACAGACTCTTATGATATGTGAAAAACTACCGTCAATTCGGAGAGCTAAGAAAAACAACAACATTCTTTTCAAATATTCTAGTACATGTTTACAAAATTCCAGATTAATTTTTAATTTCAAAATTAGGTAGAATAGCTTATACATTAGAATTACACGTAGATTATAATTTAAAAAACATATAAATTAGGCCTAATTTGAAGACAAAATGTCGAATAAGTGTGATGCACACGAAATTGTACGGGTCAGCTAAAGTAAAAGTAAAGAATATAAAGGAGATAAATTTCATTATACATAAATAGGAAAGGCATTGACTGACGATATACTAAAGAAGATGAATATTTGAGGACGAAATAGTCTCTAAATTTGATACTAATATATATGTAAAAGTTTGAATGGTTAATTACTCAACCATGCTTAAAACTGAATGGATTCGAATTAAATCTGATATACAAATAAATGATATCATTTATTAACATTTACAGTAATTTAAATTCAATTCTATGGTCAGCGGCACGTCTGTTTCGTAGTAAAAATTTTACAATTCGTGGAATGCGAAACATGTTTTATTTTTCGTAATTATTCTGATGTATAAGCTGTATTACTGTAAAGTTTCATCAAAATCCGTTACATGAATAAAGATATTATTAATTTTGAGTTGTTTTTGTCACACATGCTTCTCCTGGAAAGAGCCCAAAGAGCTGTGCTTAAGGTAATGTATGGGAAACCAGCTCGTGAACAGTCCTTTTTGCGTAACAAAAATCTTTGCATCCATCTATTTATCCATATTCACAAACTTTTTCGTTTATAATATTAGTAAGAAAGATAGTAAGATACATTAACACTATTTTTAATTTAGATGACATTAAAAAAATATCCAAATTTATTATTTTCCCTCTTTGCATGCAGATACTGAAAAATACTATAATCTGCATACAAATATCTACGCCATTTTATCTATCTAATTACCGTTCAAAATGTAAGATACATTTACAATAGATCACATTTTGAGTATTACCATTAGTAAATCACTGTCCCATGCCCTACGGCCGCTAACCGGACAGGACATCATCACGTAACGCTACCTAATGCTTACAAATATTCTTTTAACAAAAAAAAAACTCATTTATTCTGAATCTCCACATATTTATCTCTGGGTCCATTAAT